GGTGCAAGCTGGAGCATAGGAGGTTCCATGTGAACATGAGGAAAAACTTTTTCACTGTGAGGGTTACAGAGCACTGGACCAGGCTGCCCAGAGAGGTTGTGGAGTCTCCTTCTCTGGAGACATTCAAAACCTGCCAGGATGCGTTCCTGTGTGACCTGGTCTAGGTGATCCTGCTCTGGCAGGGGGGTTGGACTGGATGATCTTTCGAGGTCCCTTCCAACTCCTAATATTCTGCGATTCTTTGCTCCCCCATCTGACACCCTAATTCCCATTTCAATTGCTTATTATTTATCACTTACTGTGAATTCTTCCCCAAAGCTCTTCCTCCTATTGGCAAAATGATGGAGTCACAGAAGGTGCTGATGCAGTTTCTGGACATCTCCACACTAAGTACTCCTGGAGTACTCCAGTGCTTTTCCCTGGAGCACTGTTGGTTTATCACCAGTTGAAGTATTTGGTTGTGTGTTTATAGATAATCTGCTTGGGGAAATCTGTTGAGATCTCCTCGATCAGGCCGCTGCATGAGACACACATGTGCTGCCACGATGACTGGTGCTGGTCTAGGAGTGGCCGTCCAGAAAACCACCCTGCACCCTTTGGTAGAGTCACTGTGGTAGGGTTTATTCTTTTTAGCAGCCATGCTATAAAAGGAATATATATCATCACCATGATAACTAAAATAATTATGTAATGGAACTGTTGGTTTCCGGACCTTGTCCTACTCACTGACTGTCTCCACTTGGCAAATGGCAAGACAAGTAATTAGCTGTACCTAATCACCGATCTGTATTCATGGGACCTTTTATAGTTGAGAGAACCGAGAAGTTTGGTCAGTCAGGTTCTTCACATGAAATGCTTTGCATCATGGGCCAGATTTAGGATCTGTAAGTGCCCAAAGAGTTGTGCCTACTTTTATGTGAATAAAAGTTTGAACCTTGTCCAACCTCAGAGCGAAGGAATAAACAAAATCACTTTCAAGAAAAGCTTTCTCATAGTGCACTGTGAAAGCAAACCTTTTCAGTGTGCATGGCAAACTGTCCTGGACAGAATATCCAGATTGTCTCATGGCTCCATAAAACCAAAGAAACATACCCTGCCCCAAGCATCTTACAAAACTGGGCCCAAGTCTTTGAATCTCACCCACTCCTGTAATCCTGCTGCCCTCTGAGGTTCTAGCAGATGAGCAAGGTAAGTGAATTCAGGCTCTAATTTTAGACTTAATGCAATTTCCTGAGAGGACTGCAAATGGTAAAGGAGTGGGAGCAAATTGATGATAATAATGTTACTGAAAATTGGACAGAGAAGGCAATCTTTATACTTGCCCTCTCATCAGGGATTAAAAACTACAACCTTGGAAGGCTCCAAAGGACTTAACTCTGCCTGAAAGCAAGATGACTTGCTGGCTGCAAGCAGGAGAAGCAGGTGGCTCATGGCAGTATCTCCCCCAAACTGTAAAGGGTTAAATCGCCGTATGCAGCTACTAAGTATGCATGTGAAAATTTCAAAAGCATGAGTTAGCCATCTGGCTCCTGCTCCTATGGCGTATTTAGGGATGAAAAGGGACACCAGAAAGGTAAATAGTGTATTGCTTGATGTGTTGATTTTCAGCTGAGATTTCTCTCTTCAGTGCCTAGTCGTATTTGCCCACCTAAATGAGTGGGATTGACTGTGTATTCCAAAAAAGGGGGTGGGAAATTAGCATGTAAGCTCTGGGAGAGCTGTGCAAAGCAACCCACTGCCTAATCCAACAGCTGAGGCAAATTTATTCTGGTCTGCATCCAGAAAAAGCCCTTATCCTTCCAGTGTCTGTAGCTCGTGTGTGCCAGGGGCCAGGTGGCTTCTCACACCCTGTGTAGAACACACAGGCAGTGTTAAGGCAAGGTTAGCTGCTTTAGACTGAGATTCAAAGAGGGTTTGGGGTCAAGCAAGTGAATGTCTTCCTAGCTTTAAGTGTGTATGCCAAGCCAGCAGGGTTGTTTTTCTTCTTCTTTCTTTTTAATTTTTCCCTGTGGTAGGGGTAGAGTGGTGGGGGAAAAGGGGATGCTCCTCTACTGGTAGCCCCCTGGTCTGTCTGTCTTATTTGGGAGGTCAGGCCTGGACACATCCCAGACGTGCCCTCATGGTCCGTTGCGTTGGGAGTCTCCAGCCTGGCCCACGAGGACACCAACACCACGGTTTAGCCTGTGTGTCCCTTCAGACTGCACATGTCTCTTATTCCATTTGCAGGAGACTGAGACTCCCATCTCCCAAAGTCTTTCTCAGGCTATGAGCAGAGGAAAAAGCTGGTCTGAGGTGTGAACCAAAAGTGCATCTCCAGCCCTGCCGTAACCGTGTGCACACTCTTCATCGCACTGAACCCCCACGCCAGTCCCACTCATGGCACTGCCTTCACTTCTCTGCCTGCCACAACACTAGATCCACATAGGAGCTCGAGTACCAATCCCTGTGACTCTTCTGCCTTTGTAAAAGAAGCTAAACAACTCTTTCATGTCTAGCTTTAAAATAAGCTGTGTCTTGAAGTAATCTATTTATGCCTTTTTGGTTGCAGTTTTATTGAAAAAGCTGGTATTAACATATTTATACTTTTATTCAACAACAGTTAGCTAATTTGTGCAACACAAAGAATGCAGCCATGAACAACAGCTTTCAAAACAACCAGATTTACCAACTTTACCATCACTTACTCTACACCACCGAAAGCTCAAACTAAAAAGAGAAAGAAAGTTGGAAACGTTCACAATGACCATGTTAACTTTCCATACATTCAAGAAACCAGGAAACCAAACTGTAGTGATGTCAAAGACAGAAATGGAATACTGGTCTTGGAAAGGTTTCTATTTATTTCCTCTATAATCACTTTGTGGTATTTTGGTTGGGTATTTCATTACTTTTATAAAGCTCCAAAGATATATTTATTTAATTAATTAATTTTAACACGTTCTTTTTGGTACCCAAAGCTGTAACAGAGTAAGGTACTTCAAATTATAAACAAAAAAATCATTGTATTAAGACCTGCTTTATAATAAGCTATCTACAGAATCTTACTTCAGAATGTTAAAAGCTAAATATATGTTTTACAGTACTTCTATCTGTAAATGCCAATATGAGCTGATAGCAATTTTTTTTTCTTTGAGCTGCAAAGGTTAATGGAGGAGGCCAAAAGTCAAAGAAATTGTATGACACCCTTGAAGCAGCAGTTTGGCATTAACGAGTTTTCTATACAATTTACCACATTCTTAAACCTTTTTACAAAGAAAAAAAAAGGAAAGTAATTTTGTTAAATTTCATTAGACTAAATATGTACATATACTGTCCATGCCTGCTACAGCATAGAGTAGTTTATAAACAAACGTTCCTCATTCCCTTTAAAATTAACCTATACATTTCATACCGTATGCATTTAGTGTGGCTGGAAACTGATGCACATGCGTCTGTGCTCCTACACACAAAATATACAGCGCTGAGCTAGAAAACTTCAAACATACAGATTTCATGTGTTGTGTTAAGATGTTGTATAAAAGCTGTAGACTTTGTCTATTTAGTTCTTGTAAGCAGATTTTCACCCACCCTTTCCCCCAAACCAAAATATAAAAGCATGCAGATCCCTTCATCAGTACATTCTCCACTTACCAAGAAATCAGTGCATAATGGCTTAAAGATTTTTTTTCTGAGGAGTTTTAATGTGGGCAGATTAAGGGGTCATCTGAGTTGTGCTCTTATATTCATGGTTTGAGGAGAAATCCTTTGGGCTATTAATTTTTCTCCCAGAGCTATTAGAGATGCAGCAGAACTCTCTTTTCCTGGATTACAAGGACTCCCTGCCCACTGTGCTGTTCCCGTGTAATTCCTGCACGTGGTACCCCAATTGTGTGTACTTTCGTTTTCCATTTACATTGCTTTTCATTTGAAAAACGAGAGAGATCTAAAGGGATTCATGAGGAAAAAGCTTTTGTTTGGTTTGGAGTGTTTAATTTTTCATATCCCTCCCCGAATAATTTTGTCGCCCAGCAGTGGACTCACTTTAAAACATGAACATTCATGAGCAGTGCTACATCTCCCAGTACCATTCTTTCCTGTTACAGACACCATGGCATTGCCTGTATTCCCCAAATGCCAGGATTAAAATAACCCCACTGCAGTAACCAAACGACGGCCTTTCTGAAGTGTCTAGCAGTAAAGTAACTTTGTTCCCACTGAAGTCCATCGCTGCCTTCAAGCACAGCACTCCTAGCCATGGTTTCCTCAACTCCAACCCCCAAATGTACCCAGCATGTGCTGTCCATGCCTGCTATGGCACTGAGTATTTTATAAACAAACATTCCTCACTCCCTTCAAAATTAACCTACACATTTCATACTGTCCCACGCAGTTTGTGTGTGACCTGCCAGGCTGTGTCTGACCAGCCAGTCCCGCTGGGGTGGCCATACCAAGTGTTTTTACAGTCCTCCGTGTAATGAGGATACTGGTTATTGTTTTAAACAGAGCAAAGAGATCTATGGAAAATGAACTCCTTAAAATAAGCTGGCTGAGTAACTCTACCAGTCTGGCACTTACTCACTCGGGAAGCTGAAGCACAAAGTTAGTAATGTGAGAGAATAAATGAATAAATAAGAGGGTGTTGTAAGGAAGAGAATGTGATGGGCAGGGCAGCTTTTCGCCAGAAGGGATTTTGCTTCCAGTTAAAATGCCATGGTGCCCCTCCAATGTGCCACGTGCTCTAAAGGGATGTGGCTACTCACTCTCTCAAATGGGCTTGGCTTAGTTGGAAAAAGGAAAATGCTACAGAAAAAAATTAAGAGATTGAGGCAAAAAGCTCTAACAATGTGGTAAATGCTGTGGACTGCAAACGCAAGCAGTGCACCAGAACAACATGGTCCTGTGAACTACTGAGACCCTGAAAAGGACTGTCGAGAGATGAGGAGTCTCAGCCCTCCTCAGAACACTCCCAAAATCAATAAATACCCCTGCTTGTTTAAAGGAACCAATACAGACCACAGTACTGGATTTGCAGTCGTGCCTTTTACTCATACAGTTGCAGTGATGGAAAATAGTTGGCTTGCCACCAATAATGATACAGGCTGAGGAATGAAAGGATACAACCTACAGATCCCACCACAGAAGCCACAATTTTTGTGGAGATCACATCCTTCTACAACTCTCAAGAGGCTGGTTTGTAAATATAGAGAGATATTGATAAATCTAGTGCATTTCTGAGTTCACTTTATCCTGAAATATGTACAGATTGTTTGTCGCTGCTATAGCAATGATGTTCTCGGTTGGGTGCCACGCTGTGTGCAAGATCTTCTTAGTAAAGTCCAAACTATCCACACTGATGTCATCTTTCCTCCGTTTGCCTCCGACACAAACTCTCCGGGGCTTAAGAATAGCTCGTGGTTTACTGCTCTCTCGGGATGCCTCCAAGGTAACATCCCGCTTGGTATTTCGGTCAAACATTCGAAAAAAGTTGTTATATGCACCTGTCATTATCACACTGTAGAAAGAAAGAGAGAGAGAGAAAACAAAGACAATTAAACAGCAGCTTGTGGGAAGTCTACCAACACAACTGGATCAGGACAGCTGAGGTTCAACCTTAGGATGTCTTCTGGTTTCAGCAGGGAATTAATAATAACACAATATTTTTTTTCCCAGTACTCCCCAGAGTGCATAATTCTCTTCTACCAGGGTCTTCTCCTTCCCTTTTAGAGTATTCAATAAAAAGTATAGTTACCCCAAACTCATATGAGCCCGCACAACTGTCAGGACCCTGACATTGTGAGACTGACTTCACAAGATAACAAAAGTAGTATGTTTTAATAAGTTATTTTTCATTACCCTCCAACTTTTTATGAGCATTTAAGGATCATATATTTCAGGCTTTTTTCTTTCTCCAGAGCTTTACCTTTTCTGACAGCTGAGGTTTACCATGACTCCAGAAACAGTCTTTTAAAAAATTTTCCAAGTATTTCAAGCCTTTTGTTACAATTGTAATATTTAGTACATAATTATGTATTTTAACGAGTCTTTTGAAAAAAGGTGTTTTGAAAGGTTTGGAAAAATCACACTGAATTTGCACAAGTACATTCTTTCTGGAATAAACCCTTTTCCCCTTCTGAAGCCATAAACCTTGCAAATCTAGACACCGTTAAAATGTGTATCTACAATGCTTCTTAAAATAAAGACACTGACAAACATGATTCTGTGATCTCTTGTATTAAGTTTGAATGAAGTCAGGATATATTTCTGGGTCTGGGCGAAAGGGACAGAAAGCCTACCTCAATTGGTATAAAAATTACCCCATTAATCAGCTTGTACTTTGAAATAATGGATTGCCAGTTGATTCATTCCCCCAGTCCCTGGGGGAGGATATTTTGTCACTAACTTTAATGAATTCAGGATTTCATCCACAGCCCTCAGGTTATTGGATTAGCATAATCATGGATTTCAGAGCCTTGCTCGAAAGCTCATCCCCTGTGAACTTTTTCCACATCTGAAGCCAGGGCCATGCTCTGCTCTCCTGTCCAGCCCCAAGTAGGGTTTTTTTTCTGAATTTCCATTCTGGAAGGGGAATCCACCCTGAACGGTCAAGTCTCTGCAGGAAAAGCTGTACAGTCACAAGACTCAGGCAATCAGGAACTATTTGCCTTTCCAGTACGGCCCAACAGAGCACATTTCCCATGCTTCACATATAATAAACTAAGCTCCATCTCAGCTGACAGTTACATTGCGTTAGCACTTTGCTGTTGTTTCCCATTTTAGGGAAATCCATGTCAAGCAGCATACTGAGCACGCTGGCCAGGAGACCACAACATAAGCAACTGTGGGAGAATAAGGCATAAACTATACTCTGTCATACAGACACTCACTAGCTGATCAGATTAGATGCTCCTGGATTCGGGAGCTGGCTTACACTGTACGCATAGCCTCCAGCCAGTGTTGCCTTGATCTCATTTGGGGCCATTAGGAGCTACTGTAATACAAATGAGTAATATACTGAAAAACGCACAAATGGGAGCTGTGCAGCTAACTGCTTTTGTGCTACAGCGACCAAGGGACAACAGCGCTGCTCGCTTTAGAGCCACTGCAGGGTAACTAGAGCAGGCGAGCTGGATCTGTGTGCTGTGAATCACTGGCAGTGCTGCCAGCTCCATCCCGCTTCCCTGTTTGCTGATGGCACTGGAGTCTGATGGCAGCTGATTCCACACTCAGCTTTTTGCAGCTCCTGAAGTGCGAAAGGGAACTGCTGCAGATCAGATAGGCGCAGCACAGAGACACAGCACACGCTGCCCTCAGCAATAGCTCACCCACAGCCTTCATCCTGTCGAGAGGCCGCTTTTCTGAGGTGTGCAGGCCCTTGTCCACTGGCAGCTGCAGCCAGCCCTGGCAAGGAGCTGCCTCTCTGCTTGGGACAGCACAGCAGCTGTACTTGCCCTTGGCTTTCCCTCACCTGCCCACCTGCAAAGCCCTGGCACAACCCTACTTAGCAAAGCACAAGTTAACAATCTCACAAGCTAAAAAATAAAAAAAAAGTCAGTGTGACAGCTTGATAAAACATATCCCAGAAGCTGCAGAAAGGCTATTGATCAGGATTAGTGCCCATTTCAGAAATTGAATCAACAGTAGTAAATCTAATGTTTCACTCCTTCCAAATCACCATGTCGTGTCATTACAGCTCCTGCTGTAATTGTTATTCACAACATGAACAAGTTGAGATTATTTCATATCTCAGTGCTTACATACACAATTTGTGATGCAAACAGCCCAGCAAAGAGCTCTGTTTTTTTCCCCCCAGGTCAGATTTTGAAACAGGTCCATAATATTAGTGGGGGCACCCTGTGCCATGGGCTGCAGAGCTGTGGTTCCCAGGGGAACGAGGAGCATCCCTCCAGCTGACAGCAAGAACCCTCAGGGGAGCAGTTTTCGTGCAGGCAGAGTACCAGTGCACCAAACGCACAGAGGTGTTTGTCAGGAATCCTATTTTAGGAGGTTTTGCTTGCAGTAAAACTGCTTTACAGTCCATTTCCTTTTTAATTTCTTGAACTCTCACGTATTTTTAAAGGGCTGCTTTCTTCGGTTGGATTTACTGCAGTTATTTTTTTAACATATGTAGATGACTACTTTCCATGCTAGCCCTGTTTTTCTGCAGTTTAATGGCTCAGTAAAAAATAGCATTATGTAAATGAGAAAGTGCCCATTCTCATTCAAGGTCACAAACGCAGATGGATTATAACCTTACCTGCTGCTTAAAATAACAATAAAAGAGAGTGAGAACTAGATGTAAGCCTGCAATTTATTCCTGTCCAGGAAAATATAATGTACAATAATGAATGCATGCAATAAGGAGAGTTTTATATACGTATGTATTAGAATAAAAATTGGAGCCAAGTATAGGAAGAGTCTGCTGTGTATTTCCACTCTCTGCTCTGCACAGCAGTGCTTGCATAAAACCCTTGCAAGTGAGGTTGGTTTAAGAAACCAAAAAAAGCCCTCACCCAAAACTCCCCACACTCATCTGTAGGTGTGTAAGGGAGCAGCCCAGAAAAACTCTGCCTAACCACCTTTAATTTTACTCAGAAAACAGGTTTACAAGCTGTGCTACACATGGTCAGAAGTGCCATCATCTCAGCAATGCAGGGGTATTCAGGACGCAGAACACACTCCAGTGCACCCTGAGGAGCAGCGTACTGATAGCTCACGCAGGAGCAAAGCTGCTGGTAGACTGTGCCCAGCTCAACCACCACAGCTACAGGCAGTATGATTTTTAAAAAATAATTCAAAAAGGCAAAATAAGCAAAAAAACAGGAAAAAACCCCAAAGGCAGCAACACGGCTACCGCTGTCTACATTTCACACATCAGCAGCCAAGCCAGTGCTCTGGAAGGAAGAGGCAACATGCCGTACCTGCAGGGTCCCAAACGCATCCGCACAGCTCCACGCCAACCCTCCTGCCCTTCCCCATGCAGGTAACACACTTCCCTCCGCATGGTGCTGCTCTGCAGAGTACACGGAGTGCTCTGTGCTCCCTCCTTCAGAGCTGCTCCAAGCAAGGTCTGAGGGTTTCTGACAATTCTTCAACGTATGCGTTTTGAGCACCACCACAAAAATGCTACTAATTTCTCATGCCTGCACTGACACTGGGGCATTCTTGCTTATTAAAGACACAATCTGAGGCGTCCCACTGCCAAACTTCAATCCTCATGTAGGGTTGCTATGGCCCAAATTCTTACCCGTTGCTTTTTTTTTCTTTACAAGAAGTACAAATGTATTCTTACAGAAGGTAAAAAGGGAAGGAGGAACTCCCAGCACAGTTCAATCCTACTTTCATGATATTGACTTTTCTTCTTACTCCCTCCGTAGCTGTCATTCTGTTCTCTTTCTCTTGCCCTATGATCTTGACTCTGGTCTTTACCACACTTTCCACCTAGGATTTCATTTCCCTCCCTCTCTTCGTCCTCCCTTCCTCTTTTTCAATTTCTCTTTACTCTGCTCTATAGTTTTTAAAAAACACCGTATCTGCTTTTCTCCTGCCAGTGAAGTGTCCTCCATAGAGTCATCCTCTGCTCCCTGCTCTATTTCTTTTGATTCGCTCTGTCAATTCCCTTTCTCTGTTCCTTATTTTTCCTTCTCATCTCTCCATTTTATTCTTGGAGGTCTCACTGCTCACCCTTCTCTGCCATCTTTCAGTACCTCCAGTCTTGCTTACTCTCACAGACAACTTGCTCAGCCCTGAGGGCTTCCATCCTCACCTTCTCTTTTGGGCTGAACATGACAACCAGTAGTTGTACCACTGACATGTAAATTAGGGCCAGAGTTTTAGGGTCTACAGCACTCCTCTAACTACTGAAAGCATCTTTAAGCAGCTTAATACCTTAAAACATTTGGCTCACAATATTTGGGTTTTGGTAATGACTCTTTGTTAAATTAAATGCTTCAGTATGTGACTTCCCTCCCTAAAGTTCTGCTTCTGTTATAAAGTCAACAAATTCCCTAACCAACCAACCTCAAGAGCATCTGAATAGGACTTCATCATTTGAACTAAACTGCAATGAGCTCTTACACAGTATTTTTTTAGGCATTGAGATTTCATCAGACATGTCAGTCACTAAGAACTGGAGTATCTCTGTCTTTCTCGTATCTGTTATTCCCATACTTCATTCAGATTTCTTTATTGCAAGCCAAGCTCTTTAATGTCATCTACAACAGTTTTTATTAACCATTCAGCTCCATTCAGCTGCCTTCCTGAAAGTTAGGGTTTCTCCTGCAACTCTGGGGACATCAGCTGGAATTAAGGCTTGCTTAAAAACCAAACCATACTTGCTGCACATTGTTTTGTGCTGGTTTTCTTAGGGTTTTTTTAAAGACTTTTATAATAATTTTTGGGCTAACTCTAGTCCAGGTTAGTCTTCCTAGATGCATAGAAATTTTTCTTCACCTGAAGATTTCTACTGTCTGGAGAAATCCAGCTCATGGCAGAGTTTTCCTCCTCCACTGTTGCTCAAGAGACCATGGAAGCCATGGGATGGTGTGACAGGACTAAGGCTGGGCAGGCTTCAAGGACCAGTGCATGCTGGGCTGAAGGATGATGGGAGAACTAAACCAGCCCTGCTAACCTGCCCCTCACTGCAAATGTGGCAGCAGGGATTCATTCTCTGAGGCAAGAGAGGCAGGACATGGGATCCAAACAAGTGTGAGGGGATGAGAGAGCAGCTTCCACCACAGCCAGACTTGTGAATCTCTGCGGAGTCCCTCAAGGCACCCAGTGTGAAAATGGACAGTTTCTTTGAGCTGAAACCATCTCCTCAATTATATTTTGAGCCCCTAAATTTGCAAGATTTCACTAGCACGTGTATCACTGCAGAACAACACATCTGCAGTCTCCTGGGACTGACACACAAGGTCCACCAGATCTGCTTTCATGACAAGATGACCTTATGAGAAGGACTGGTTCCAGGAAAACTTCAAAAACATTTCTCATGGATTTATTATGACAAAGGGAAAGGAGGAAGCACCATTGCAAACAGTGGGGGCCTGCTGGCATACTGGGGAATTTTCCTTTATTGTGCACTGTGTGAAGCAACTGAGTCCCCATCACAAAGAAGAAACTTCTTTAAACCTCCTGGGGAGTACGCCGATGGAAAAGCTTGAGACACCAGACTCAGGGTTGTGCCACGGTGGTACAGTTGGCTGGGCTAAGACTGGGAATAAGAACAGGGGATCCCCAAGTCCTTCCACACTAATATTTGACATAAGAAGCCTTGAGAACAAAATGATGTCTTCTAGCTCTCCAGCACTGAGTGTGCTGCCAGACAGGAACAGACTTAACATCGCATCCACTGGGACCTGCCAATTCCGCCTGATTACAGTGAAGGCTGACGGATACTCAGTGGGATGAATGACAGTTCAGTAAGAAAGGACTGACTGAACAGTTGTACGTGACTTCTCTCATCTGCTTACAGCACATCACTTATCATGATGGTACTCAGAAGTCTCCCTGGAAGTGTTCCCATACACCCATTCATTTGAAATCTTAACCAAAAAAAAAGAATAGTAATTAAGGCATTCACTTACTACCATGTAGAATTACTACACTATTTTTTTTCTTTTACTGGCTTCTCCTGTAGCTCACAAACAGCTCCATAAGTGCTAATCTGTGAAGTAAAACTGAAATAACAAAATAGGTATGGTTGACAGTGAGAAGAAAACTGTGTCTCATGGGTCTTTATTAGAAGACTTGACTTCTGAAGTAAATGGAAGAACTAAATTAAATCAGTGTGTAAATAAGGCTCGCATATTCTACATAGTCATGTAATGATGTATATACAATGAAGATGGCATGACTTTAGTGTAATATACTCAACTACAGATCATATGTGCTCATCTGGTTGAATTAGTGTAAGACCTCTGCTTGACTCCCTCCCTTGACCACTGTTGTTGCCAAAGTACATCGTGATTAATGTGCCCTTCAGCAAATGAGATCGGCTCTGTCTGATCATATTAGTTCCTGTTCATTGGAGTAACTGAGCATCAATCACGTTCTAATCAGAGCTCATATAGATAGATTTTTTTTTTAAACAGCCTCACCATCAGGTTCTATCATAGCCTAGATTGTCTCCTTAGTAATGACAAAAACTAACAAAAAGTATTTTCACCTAAATAATAAATATGCTTTCATTTTTAACTGAACAATCATGTCACTTTAAATTGTCATTGTTGCTTCAAAGTCTGCAAAATATAAAAATAACATGTTTAGAACTGCAGTTTTTACTGTTATGTATACATATCAATAATATAAATACTACATTGTTAATAGGCATCACTTACTCCTAGAACTAGTCCATTTTAAAGAATGTATACCAAAAGGCTCAAATTAATTTACCTTACTATTCAAATGAACTGTGCTTTAAAAGTTACCGGTACCCAAATATAATTTAAATTATGGTACACCAAAAAAAAGAAATCCTTGTACTGTGTAGCAAAACAATACAGTACTTGTCATACACAGAAGCAAGCTCAGAAGGGTGAAAGTTCATTTAAAAATGAACATCAGTGCTGATACGTGTGACTTTTAAAAATAAACAACTAGATTAAAGAAAACTCCTATTTTTTTGTCAAATGTTGCCAGCTACTCTACTCAACAGTTTCTTACAATCAAGAGCGGTGTATTGTGTTTAGTGACAGATTTGGTAATTGTGCACATCTAACAATGCCCCAGTGTCTGGGCAGTAGAATAAATAAAGCCCCCATAATCTAATGTTCCCACTCACTGCATTGATCCTTCTGATCTCTCAAGTAAGAACAAAAATACTACACTCACTTTAAATCCTGATATTGAATAATATTTCTATTATTACCAGGCAACTATCCAGAGAGTGGTCTGACTGCACTAATGAGGACAGCAGTGTTTCATTCAGCTACAGGAGAAAGACTCTGGGACTGGGAACATGTGGCTGTCCACCCTCTACAATGCACTGGGAATTCCATCAAGGATAAGCAAAATGATTTGAAAGGACTTGAAAAGCCCTGAATCTTTGTCACAGTTGCACAATATCTAAATGATTTGACTGCACTGTTCTTCTATGCCAGATTTAGGCAGGGATCAGCACCATCCACACTTCCAAGAAAGGCTTTTATTTTGGTACTGGCAGTAGGCCCAAACTCAAGCAAAAACCAGTCTACTGTGACAACCCTCTCCTAAAACAGCCATTCATGCATGGGTTTGGGAGGTTTGGAGAAAAGCTCCAAAATCTGGATCTTCCCCTAAACTCTGAGTTATTTCCACTTTCTGACCATATCAAAGCCATTTTCACAACAGTTGGTGCCCAAGTTGCAGTCATGGCAATCTGGGAAGGATTTTGCCCAGTGTGGTCCACCTATGTCATTTCAAATGGTCAGCAGTTTGTATCACAGGGGACACTCAAGGAGGAGATCCTCTTCCTCCCTATGTATTCGTCCTTGATATACGTACTAGAAGAAAGTATAACCTTGGTTTCTCTTTTGCTAAGTTGATCAAAACCAAACTCCTGCCCTCTCCTCTCTTTAGAGCAGCTGTCTATTTGCCCAGTTAGTTCATCCACCTTAGAGATGAGGGACTAGAGATGTCTAACTGCAGTCCAAAGGTCTTTGAATAAGACCCTAATATAACATTGCCACTACTCCTTTCTCTGCTGGATATCCCAGTCTTGCCCATTCAAAGATCATATCTGCCTTTTTCACAGCTTCCCCACACTCTGTTTCATAGTCCTTGCCCAGTCCAGGGGGGCAGGCCTGCTCCAAATACGACGAGATGAACTGTTTTTCTCTTTCCCAAATGAGGGGCTAAGTGAGCTGAAGGCACAGTTCCAGGCTTTCAGCAAGTGCCAAACTTTTGCCTTGTGGCTCCTAGCTCTGCTGAGCCAGAAGTCACTGTGTGCCATTCAAAACTGGCTCTTGTGCTCTCTTTCACATGCATTTTGTAACCTGCTAATCCCTTTCACAGTGATCTCGTGCATGAACGTTCCTGAGTTGTTTCTAACTGATAAGGTGAAGGTTTGTGTTTCAACTAAAATCCTCACCTTGCACTATACTCTTGGATTTCATCCATTTTTATCATCCTCTTGGCTGCTCAGTTCTTCCTGTACAATATTCCTACTCCCCAGTGTACTGCCACCATTTGCTAACATCGTGGCATTAACACATTTCATCCTCAGCCACACTGATTTGTTGTGCCAGTACTTCTTATGGAAATATTCATCAAGCTATTATGTCCAAGATAAAAACCAGGACTTCTCCTTCAGTGCATGGGGAAAGGGACTGCTCCGATGGGGGTAGGTATCAGAAGAAACTGTAATTTTTGTCAGTGGGAAGGTGGCAGCAGTTTGTGGAAAATCAGTGGGTGCCTGTGACTGCCTCTCCTCGCTCTCTGTTTCCAGTATATGAACTGGGTTTCTGAGGCAGCTCATGTGTAAATACAGGATCACACAAGCTTCCTTAATGTGTTGGTGGGGCTGTGTGAGTTGACAGCATTCTTTTTAACTTTTGCAGCCTGGTTGTGATTTTGGTGAAAATGGACAGAATTTGAAGTTTTTTTCCCCCTAAGGCATGAGGCAAGATTAACAAGGTATACATCATGTCCAAGGAGGTCAGAGACACCACTGCACCAATATCCAAACATCTTTTATCACTCTGACATACGAAGATGTAAATTGATGTGGAAAATAATAATGTGTAACACTTTACTTCCCAATTGTTCCCCATCATAAGGGAGCTCTTTTGCTAAATGAAGACAGTGATGGCCATAAGGATGGATTACCTGTCTGATCCGTTCCATGCACATTCAAACTTGTCAAAGATGCAGTCATTTTCATAGAGGGAACACAACTTGCTCCTAAGGTAATCATGGACCTATTTCAAAGAAAATAACTGTTGTTATTCTTGGAATAAAACAAAATACAAAACTCCACAACCACCTCCCTGACTCTGCTTTATCTCCCACGTTCGTGTTTAAAATAATGCTGCAGATTGGTAGCCTTGCGGAAGATACTCGGTTTAAAGAAGCTATCTGTACTTTTCCACAGCCCAATTAACCAGGTGCTACAGAATTATTGTTGCAAGGAGGCATGAAGCATACCTCCCTCAGCATGCTGCAGACTACCCCTCTTCAACAGATTTGTTTCCTGCTTGGGTGACTTTTTTTCAGTACTAGCCTAATTCCCAAAGACATTTCACCAGCTGATACCCTAGATGTGCTAATTAATGTGAGCTAAATCTAATTTAAATAGTACCAAAAATGTCATATTCCAAGATAAGTGGACTCTCAACTGTGGCAGAAAGAACTTGGCTCTATAAAAAGAACATACAGTATGTGGTATTACAAATATTTGGGTAAGGCATTTCAGAAACCAAATACAGTACAATGCTGCACTTGCACAGACTGCAAATTAGAACACTAATTTAGCCCAAGGGTATCTCCTATTTAGCAGAGCCTTAAAAACAACATCGCAAAGTTTCACTTACATACTTAAAAAGTGGGACTAACCGGCAGAAGAACTCTCCTCTGGGCCACACATCTCTGCTGAGCAAGGGTTATCGTAAAGAGATAGATCTCATGCAAACTGTTTCAATCCTTTGCCGAATTTGATTAGTTTTCTTTCTGGATGATTGGTTTCATTCCGCAAGGAAATAATGAGCTAGAAAATCCCTGCCTGGACAAATGTACTAATGCACTTTCACTCCTGATGCTTGCTTCTAGCTGTTGTAGAAACTGTAAAACAAAGACGTGTGGCTGGCCTCTCGGAGCACACACACCAATCCAATAGCCGAGGGGCATAATTTAGCTCTAGCATACAGAGGTACTGGTTCTCGTAAGTCCAGGGAGACTGCTTCTGTTCATGGATGCTCAGCATCCTCCTCTGGCCTGAGGGCATAAACATTTCTTCTAGTAAAATAACTTCTATCAAGACCACATGTAGGACAATGACCCTTCACTTGTATTTTCTTTAAATTAACCCATTTTTGATAGTCAAATTGTACAGTATTTTAAGAATACTTAAAATGTAAGATTATAAATTTTAGTCATGGATCAATTTTCATTAATATATGAGTGACCATTGAGCTGTATATAAACAATAACGTCTTCTACAGCAACTAATAGGCAAACAGTAGGTACAGATAAAACATTTCACAGTTAAATGCATTTACCCTCATGGTGAGTAATAGGTAAGAACATTTTCAGTACTGATGCCATTTCTTGCACCCTCTGTAATTAAACTTTCATTTTAAGGCCTTACACTGTGTCAGCAGTGTAATCTGTAACAGAACTAGAGTTCTTTTATCATCTTTGTGAGCTCCCAACATTTCCAAGAAATAGAAAGGCTGGGTAAGGCAGGAGAAGGAAGTAGATGGCATTAGCCTCAGTGACTGTCATTTCTAGGTCTTCCTCTTGTTACCATTTCCAGCAGCCATCTGTCATGGACGCTGTCACATATACAGCCTTTGTGAAGTGTGTCCAACTCCACAGTTTGGAGTTGTGCCTTTCTATCAGCTCTGTCAAAAACATTTTGAAGTTCCTCTCTCAGATTTATTCAAGGTCTTGGCTCCTTTTTCTTGACTGACTCTGCCTGCAAACTTGCCCTGCTGACTTGAGCAACCAGCTTGCTCTTCATGGGGACCCTGTACCACATTTGACCACATTCAGACCCTCAGAATGATCATCTGGCACTAACAATTGAGGGTAAAATCAGGTTTGTGTTGTCTGTACATACTGTTCTCACCATATACAAGTGGTACTTGAAACCCGACCAAATTAATTCTATCAAATCCCCATAGGTATTCTCCTTTTCTTCACTGCACTGTTTTAGGCCAGACTTTCATGGAACTGTTTAGTAATTCTGTGCTCCAGACTAACACAGCAACACGACTACGCAGGGAGCTATTTCACTGGGACTAAACAGTCATAACATTAGTGTCACTTACCAATGACACTAAGTTGGGAGGGAGTGTTGA